CCAGATAAAAATTTCTAAAATCAATGAGGTCAAAGTTGATACTATTAATAATCAGAAATCAAATCACATATGAAATCATCACAGTCAGGCAATGTAAGGAAAGATAGTTCAATTAAATCCATCCAAAGTGAAAAGTTTTTCAACGGAATGAAGAATACAACAACTGCAGGATTTATAAATTAAAATAAAAAAGTCCTCGCTGAAAGAGGATCAGAAAACTTGAGTAGCATACTTGGTCAAGTGTGCTGTTTTCTTCTTTTCTAATTTCTAAAAAAGCAATGCTAAAAATACGAAAACACGGCCGAGTTACAACAATGAAATTTCATAAAACAATGAAATTTAAAAATATTCAGTAATGCCAATAAGGAATAAAGAAACTATTTAGCAAACAAGAAAGACTAAAAACCCAGAATACAGGTAAAATGTTCCATAGAAAACTAGAAATCATAAGATTAATAATTTCTTAAATACCGTGAAAAAAAAACCAAATCTGTACCAATGATAGGCTTCACAGTTTTAACTGAAAGCAATAAATTATCTCACTTTGTCTGATAAATAATTAACTGAAATTTACCTCTCCGGAATTAGATCCATAACAAGGTACCCAAAAGGCAAAAGACAAATGGCGAAAGAAAATCCTATAGTTACAACAAACCAAACTTCCTAGCCTTTTCCTCGTCATATTCTTTGAAGACCCATTGCTGATAAGCATTATTTTGGTCGCAAGTTTCCATCAACAACTTTGCACCATCGCGGCTCATTTCCAAACATTTGCCAGTCACTACATGAAGCAACCGGTGTATCTAAAAGGGAATGTGACATAAATAGTAGTCTAAAAAAAACAACTTTTGCTTTCAAAATGTCTGCAACATGTTATTAGTAGCTTACTACACATACTATCTTAAATGCTCACGCAAAGTAGTCTCAACTACTAGTTCCCACAGAAAACTAAGAAAAGAGACGAAAAAAAAAGAAACTAGAATAAGACAGAGCTTGAGTGCGACTTATTAGACGCATTTCAACATTTCTACAAACTCATAAAAATGGCAATAAAAAGTTTAGACCAATTAATAGTATAACTTAAAACATGCTCCTGGGGCTTACTTTGTGGTCATATTTCCACTCCTGATTCCCCTTCATACCATGACACGGAAATGTCATGACATCAGTGCCCGCATAGTCAATGCATGACTCGTCCCTCCTGATCTCACCATCCTTACTTAACATCCAAAACTAAAAAAACAGGTAAACTGGTGAAGGAACTTTCCTATAACTATGTATTAGAAAAACTTCGGAACTTTTTAGAAACTGACAAATAATTTGCACCTTTGCGAAGAAGACTCAGTAAAGTTACTAAATCATTTTTAATACAAGAAGAAAGATAAAATACAAGCTAATAAAACAATTGTTGCAAAGGGCTTGTTTCATTAGGCCCCAGTCTAAACAATGAACAAATCACAAACTCACAAGTTCCAGTAAAGTTTTTAACGAAGGAAATACCTAGAGAACCAAAACTAGCCATTCTCAGGCTCAATAGAAAGCCACCATTACCGTTTACAGTCGATCAAATAAACAACAGCCCCTCTCAGCTAGGTTTTGACTACATAGTAGTAAAAATCAAAGTCAGAGATGCACTCCTTTATGTCGAGTTACATCCTCCACCGCAACGAAAATGAGTTAAACAGTAGAAATCACTCCACTATTTGCATAAAACGACGAATCTGAGCGGATAATAATTTTTCATAATCCGAAATGAACTCCTGGCATCAATTCAACAAACAGGACGTTGAGGATATCCTGTCGAAAATGTTTAAAAAAATTGCTTCTCGTACCTGGTTGCCTCCTTGGTTATGACACCAATATAATCCTACATTTTTCTTCTGATGAGACGCCCAGTCTAAGCAGTTTTTTGAGTGTCCTCCACGGTTTCGTACCTGCATGAGAGGTCTACGAAATATAACTTACTACGTCTTTTAATTCAAAAAATCCTTATTGCAAGCCCTACATTACCTCGATTACCCCAACGATTTTAAGCTCCATAAATAAAAATAGTCTCGCTCAGGAATCAGAAAGCAACGCGAATTAAAGCGGATTACACAGAGTTATTAAGAGTCATGCAGGACGTAAACGAACAACGAACTGACTGACAAAAGACACTTGAAGTACGCATAATCTCGAAAAGCAGTTAGCAGCTAATATAGTTATTAGATACCCAAACTGTGTTACCATCTGCTGGTAACCAACCATTAACTCAGCCAAACTGGAATCGATGCGATACAATATTAAGTTAGTGCCGAAATAATGACCTCAACAAAACTCCCTTCAAACCAACTCTTTTCTAGAACCAGACAAACAGGTAATTGTCAATACAAGGCCACTTCAAAACGCAGTATGTGACCCCATAAAAGCAAAAACAGCATAGAATCTCTCAACCACTCGAAAGAGTGAACCTGATTTCCGCCTTGGCCATGACACGGATACGGTGTCACGGGCTTCTGGACATCTTCACCAACAAGGCTATCCAGACACTGAGGGCCGCCGCCGTTTTCAACCCATCCAGCATTCCGAACCTGAAACGATCTACCACACCTGCAGAATGTTTACAAACCCAGAAAAAATTTCCCGCCGCACACTACCTAACCTCCTAACCTAACCCGATAAAGCCCTAAGAATTCAACCAATTTTGGATTTTTTTTAACGAAACTCGCCTGTCTTCCGCTATGGCCACGACACTCACTCAGAGTGATAGGGATCTGCTCCAATTTCTTGCCCACAGTAGATTCCAAACACAAAACCTTGAATGAGAGATTTCTTACCTACAAGCGAATTACGCAGAAACTCACCTTTCACAGTAAGACTCACCGCACGTACCCAAATTTCCACTCACCTTCCAAATAAAACTTATTTAAAGAAAAATGATGAGAATTTAACAGTGATGTATTCCGCTGCAACAAATTATTACTCATTCAGTATGTAAAAAAAAATTATAAATTGAAAAATAATTGTTTTCAACGAAATATCCTAAAATACTATTATTTTCCATAATGGTTAAAATAATGTGAACTACTTCCTAGCAACTAGTGAGTAAAAAATCTCCCAGGTACGGCAGTGAATATTACCAATAATACTCTCTTCTCTTTATTTCATCTACTCGAGAGAATGAAGTGAAAGGAGAAATAAGAATAACATTAGAGGAATTATATGACGTGCAGGATATGCACACTTGCAGTACTTTTGAAAAGCTTGAACTAATTACTCACAAAACAATAGCCTTTTCATAACAAGTTTACTAATGCATATTGATGCATGCCTTAAAATGCTCGTTTTTTAAAATACTGTTTTCTATTCCAAGTATAACTCCATTATTAACAAAATATATTTGCCTTCGTCTACAAAAATCAATACAATGATTAAAATTGAATTCCCCAATTCGATGCCCATCGAAAAACTGATTGCACAGCAAGCCGAAAACTACAGTGAAAAAAAGTAATAGGTACATTCCTAAAACCTACTGTGCAAAATAAAAAAAAAACATAGAAAAGAGAAAGAGGATAAGTAACTTCTCAGAATTACAACACTGAAGAAACATTTCATGCGCGGTTTAAACTGAGCAGCACTGTGGTCAATATGAGTTAAAATCAAATCAAGGGTAATAAGCACAGCAGAAAACATTATAGAAATTTTGAAAAATTCAATAAAAGGGTGAAGTTGAGCTAAGAATAAAAAAAGATGTAATTTAGGGTACTCCGCAACTTAGTAAGGTGAGATTTAAACTCAAATATCAGTTCTATTTAACAAAAACAAAAATAAGTTTTCGAAAGAAAAGTAAATACGCGTGAAGCAGCTGGATGAGAAGCCTTTTAGACACAGCTGCTGTACAAATAAAGCACAGTTACGTACAGCATGCAACACTGAATACGTGCCCTAAGAATTAAAGCAGTTAATTTTAACATTATGTAATAGAAAGGCAACTACTGAACAGTTCCTTGACCATGCAAAACAAAAGCAGCAAAAACAGTTTAACTGGTAACAAAAATTTTAGTTTCTTCGCATCCATCTATACCTGGCATGCAAAAGCAGTTAGTGAAAATAAAATATGCACATAACATGCTTCAGTGACCGTAAAACAAGAGAAGAGAGTTATATCTTACCAATACCCCTCTAAACCCGCAGCTCAGTAAAATAATAAACTTAAAAACCAAAAAAAGCAATTAAACAACGATTAGCATAAACATAAAAATCAGCATATAAAAGAAGCACAAGAGAGATACCGAAATAAAGACACTTTTAAAGGTTAAACTTTACAGAAAAAAATCAGAAAATTTTACCATAAGATTGAAATACTCATTTCATTCTATTCAGAAACACTTTTCTATTGAAAATCAAAACTGAATGAAATTGTTCAAAGAATAAGAAATCTAAAGAAATACCTGATACATAAACTAAAAGAAATGCTTGTGATTCCGACATAACGCTATCAAATTAAAAGCGTTCCATGAAATGAGCATTTCAAATTTAGCTTACACGATAAAAGCTGCTTAGAAAGAGAATATTAAAATTAAAAACAAACAAAAAACCTACCTCTCCTTTTGCTATTGAATCGCCTGGAACAAACAGTTCAGGAAAAATATTATCCAAATACCACTTGAATGATTTACATCCAAGCCGTTCCCTTAGTGCTTTGCGGTCAGATACGTCTCCAAAATCTCCCTTCAAAAAAAAAACCAAGATAAATGATTTACCTATAAATACCTGATGCAAGAAAAAACAACTTATGCACATCTTGTGCATTAAAGCAAAAAACGCGTACAGTTTGATTATTGATACGTTCGTAGTAATAGTACTTATAGTCATCAAGCCAAACCTAAAAGAACCATTTCAAAATCGAGAAATTTTCGGAAAAAAACTTCATAAAACACTGTTTAGTGAAAATCGTTAAGAAAGTACACAACAACATGTAAAATCTATTCAAAAAAAATAATAATTTTCATATACCTCAGCTAGTCTGACAGAATTTTTTTTCAAAACGTTAACACCCGAACGCCACTTATAAGGAGACCTTTTTCGGAAAATATGTCCTACGTGACTGCATGGAACTATTTCTAAAGTCCCTCCACACATCCAGATCTATAAAATAAAAACAATAAACTTTTCATCAGTAAATCTTGGGAACAACAACGTACTTTAAAAGAAAGTTCCAAGTTTTCGCCACCCCATATGTCGAATCCAGGATCATAAGTACCTAATTTATCAAAGTATGCACGGTCGATTGAAAACAATCCACCCGCCATTGTTGGTGATCTGAAAAAAAAAAGTTTAATTTACAACGGAAACAAGTCTAAGTTATAGAAAGAAGGTAGCTGGAATCCAAACTGGACTATTTAATAAAAACAGTAAAGGTGAAAAATACTTTAATTTAAAAGAAACCAGTGACAATAACATCATTATAAACAACGAAATTTCTAAAACAGATCTAGTACTACAATTGTCAGGAAAACAGTTTGCGGTGAAAAATAACCTGACAGGATCTATATGTCGTTTCCTACTTTTACGGTCACGCTCTGGAATCGCGTGCCAATTGAATTGCAGTGACCAATCAAAACCCCCAACGTTTGTAAAATATGCCTTCGAGTAATGATACTCAAACGTATTGTCATCGATCACATCAATTACAGGGCATACAACAGTTGTTGGATCACGTTTTATCCTGTCCAGCAACGGTTCTATCCAACCTAAAAGATCTCGATAAAGTGCAAATTGAAATACCTCATTTGAATTTAGTAGAGCCCCCTGAGAAAAACCAATTTGAGGGACCGGTTACTACTAAAATATCGCTAACTGCTCTCAAAGAAAAACTTTTTAAATTTACCCTCCATGCATTCACAGTGTGAGTCGAGGTATGTTATTACGCTGCCCTTCGATACTGCTGCACCCTTCAACCTCGCTCTAATCAGACCCTCTCGTTTTTCCATCCTGATAATATGTACCTTCGGAAACTGACTCATGTACTGATCCAAATCTTTCTAAAAACCAGGCTCATTGAAATTACAAGACACTACTTCCGAAAAGAGCTATGTGTCATTAAGTTAAACTCTCTGCGATCCTCAGGAATTATATGGCATTCCATATTTCCTTAGATACACATGAAATCCCCTCCAAAAAAATTGTTGCCAAAATTCCATCACAAGTCTCCTACAAAATCAAAAAAAACACTTGGTAAATTCCTGAACCAATATCTGAGTAACGACCCTTCAACTATATTTATTTGACAATGAATTTAGTATCTATAACCACTGTTTAAATAAATAGTTTGAAACGGTATCAGCTTTTCATCAGTCCTCTTCAGAAAACGATTCATTTTCTTCTCCAAAAGAGTAAAAAAATTTAAGAGCGAGTCATGATGCCTTTATGAACTGCAGCTGCACAAAAA